AGATGGTGTAGTTATGGAGTCTCCTCGCCGTCCACTCCTAGCCGATTCCTTCATGGTGACTGTCGTAAACAATATTCTCGATCCTTCGATAAGTTGACTGCAATTATACGTGGATGATACATTCATAATTTGTGATAAAAGATTTGATTTAGAGTATCTCCTCAAATCAATCAATTAAATTCACCTAACAAAGTGAATCGAACATGGCAATTACATTCCTTGATGTACTACTCACCAGTAAACAAGACTGTACAATACAAAGACTGAAATATCGCAAGCCGACATTGACAGGACAGTTTATCAACTTTCAGAGCTTCGTTCCACTGATCCGAAAGAGAAACCTAGTACATACCTTGTGTCCATAGATTTAAAAAGTCTGCTCTGAATATATGATAGAGAAAGAAATATATTTATTACGTGAAATCCTATTAGAGAACAGTTGTCCACCAAGATTCATCGGCAAATATATGAAGGACAAACTTCCGTAGGCAGAAATCACAATTGTTGCTAAGAAAATTCTCTTCATGAACCTAGAGTTCAAAGGTAAAATCGCAGGGAAATTTTCAGAAACTGCCTTTCTAAATGTCTGAAGAAGACATTTTCAACAGCCAATCTACTTATCACAGTCTCCTGCAGACAGTTAATCCAGTCTAACGCTAAGGACAAGATACCGGTTTGGGCCACTTCAATGTGTATTTATCAAATTACTTGATCGTGTGGAGCACAGTATATTGGCCGTACGCAACGTCAAGTCCACAAATGTATTCCACAACATTGTTAGCCTGGTTAGCAAGAGGGTAAAAGAAGAATATCAGCCGCCTCATCCACAAACACCTTGTCATATCCAGACATGGAGCACTCCCACACAAGTGCATTACAGTATTACACAGATTACGTCAACGTCATATAAGGGGACTTTGCATACGCCATCTGTGCATAGCTGAAGCATAAGCTTTTCAGGACCTGAAACCGGACCTCTGCATTTAAAAGCGCAACATACATTCACTGGTCCTACAGTGGCAAGAGAAAAGTCCTTACTATAATTTCGCTTCTTGTTATAATGTAATTTTCCCAGCTTTTGACATGCTAACTCTCATTGGTGCTGAATGGATGGTGCTAGAGAATGGACTGCTGAGCGTAGTAACTAATATGCTGGAATTTGACTGTCGAAATGTATTTTATACATTTCTGGTTATGAAAAACGAGGATGAAGCAACGAATATCCTCGATTAGTTTAATGGTGCTTATTCAGAAATAAACTTGACCATAGAGGAAGAAAGCAATGTCAGTATCTCGCCTTCCTGCGAAGGAACATTGATGGCAAACTAAGAAGAAGTGTGCATAGGAGACTTACAACAAAACGTCAGTACACTCATTTTTGAATTTTACACCTTTGAAATAAAAACGTAATTTTGTAAAGTGTCTGGTTCATAGAGCTAGAATAATCTGCTTAAATGATTTCCTCAATAGAGTTTAAGATTATTCGAGGATTACTCGGTAAAACTTGATCTCCAGATAAGTTGTAAAAATATGAATTTAGCACCAAGGAGAGTCAGCATGGCAACAGCTGGAAAAAAACCATTGCTCATAAAACTGCAGTTCCTCGGTGACAACAGTGAAATAGTAACACGGCATCTGAAGAGTGCAGTTAAAACAGCTTTCAATGCAGTAGAGGCACACTATCACTCCAATTCCACCTCCATTTTACGTTCGACAAATAAGAACAAACTACCCAGTTTTGCCTCCTTTATGAGCATCTACCAGTTTGACTTCAGATACAGAGTCAGCTACCTAGAGCGTCTAATTAGGAAGGTTCATCAACTTTTTTCCGAATATATTTACATTGGTGGTTTGCATGATAGATTTAAATTTTATCATATTGCACAAGGTTTTCATCTCAGATTTCCAGTTGAAATGTGGCAATATGTTGCTTTAGGATTGAGGAAACACACGAGCACATTTGAGTCACTAGGCATCACTGAGTAGCAAGCTTCGTCGAATGACTGACCGTAGGACGAAGATTCTTCACGGTGAATCAACGGTATCACGATGGATTTTCGAACGTCTACAGTCTTCAACGGAATCAAACTGTAGAAATCAGTAATGAAAGTCGTATCGAAATTCGCACATTAGCACATTTTTGCACTTTGTATCAACCACGGGGATAATGACAACTTGAAATAAACAGCAAAGGAATCCTAGCAGTGATTAACAAACATTTCGTAATAACCAAAACCCTACTGGCTTATGATCTGAACAAAATCGTGAAAATCACTCAAAGCTAATAAACATTAATGACACTGCTTCACATATACACCGGATAATGCCTGTTTGACTTTCTTCATGATTCAGGGTTCCACACTCTAAAATATTTTCAAGAATGCTGTGAACATTGTCAGCACATAAAGACTGATAAATCAAGTGATTCAAGTTGCCAGTTTGTTATCATCAAGCACCTGATGTGATGTGCATAATTTAAATGCAAACTCAATTGTACTGAATTCACTGATAAAATCAGAAAAATTACGGAGAGTAAAACTAATGCGATTAAAAGTGCTGGCAATATGCAAAGTACTTGAGTTTGACAAATGCGGAAAACAAGCAGAATATGTACAGAAAATATAAACAAGTTTCGATTCTATGTGTGAATTCTCATACTGAGAGAATAAAAACCAAATGACTACATCTTAGACATAAACAATAAAAGATATTTTCTAAAGTTGGTTTGTAAGCATTAGTTTTGTTTTTACGAGTTGATCACGGATTGATATCAGTTAGAGAACCATTGACAACCAGCACTGGAGTACTGCGCAGCTATTTCAGCCTAGCTTTGGGAATCAGCGGCAGTACGCATCCACTGAGGTTCAAACCCGGGACTTCCAGGTTACAAAGCAAGCTTGTAAACCATTCACCCACTGGGATCCGAATAAATGGCCAACGCATGAATTCTAACTTCTACCAATTCGTGATTTAGCGTGACCCCAACCAATGTGGTCAGTGGGATGAAACAGCCGTTCAGTACTATCTGGTTTTCAATGGTCCTCTGACCGATATCAATCCGTGATCAACTATTAATTTTATGGTTGAAGAGGAAGTATATAACCGTCAGTTGAAACATTCCACAGAAATCACTAACCATTACTATCAAGCTTCTTGTAATTATCAACTCTCAGTAAGTAGAAAACTACGATAGTTTGATATGAGATCTGGGGAACTTCATAAATAAGCTTTATAACTCCATTATGGGTAAAATGTATTTTGATAAAGTCTCACAGTGTCATACAGTAATATTTACCAATGACGTTTAGAGCACAATTTATTACTGCTCATAATCATATAAAGGTGTCCCCTCAGCTTCCTAATTTCGTTTATATAATTTCATGAATCCTTGTTCATCGAGTCTACACCCAACACGTGAAATAGGGAGGACTCATCACTCATACCGGAATATGGATAATACTACTACCAATCAAATCAATCGATGGATAATAATGGTGTTATGTAAACGAAGTTAGAAAGTTGTGTGAATACCTTTATATGATTATGAGCAGTAATAAATTGTGCTCGAAACGTCATCAGTAAATATTACTGTATAAAAATGGGGGACTTTATTTTACCCGTAATGGAATTATACTCTACCACAGTGCACAAGTTCTATTCTTATATCAAGCTTGATAATTGCTGTTCAGGTTCTTACAATTATAAAATATAATATTTATTGCCGTTACAATAATGGCCATTTATGTGACGGATACATTTTTTAACGTAAAATAACAGATTAGTTATGGGGTGTTAAAATAAATAGTCGTATTTGTGTGACCAACGTGATAGGCGGAAATTGATTAGAAAATATTGTAAAACAGGAGACAATGGTGGTGGTGATTAATCATAACAGATTTGTAGAGCGTGGGGTAGGAAATCTGACAAGTCAGATCAAGGTTACAAAGAGGTGTATTAAAGGGGAGATAGTATGACTGCAATGAGATGTTCATAATGAAATAACGAATGTGTTAACTGAAACAGGTGTAGGCAAATATAGTGAGAAAAGAGATAATATCACTAATAATAAGTCCGGATAGTATAAATGGCAAATTCGATAGTATTGAGAGAATGTTTGCATGAAGGTCATAAATGACGATGAATAATAATAGTAATAATAATAATTTTAATAATAAACTAAGGGAGAAAACAAAAAATCAAGTAGACAAATTTTTTCATCACGATTTGGTTCTGTATAATAAATATTCGTTTCGGAGATGTACGCAGGTGAATTCACCCTGCGTTACGTGTTACTTAGTGGCGCACCTTTTCACTTAGTGTATCTATATACGAATTATCAACAACAAGTAGGATGAGTTATATTTCTTTACTATGCCGTTACTTCGCTCCTGTAACTACAGTTCTCCGATAAAATTCATCTCACATGATGTGTTTGCTAAATGTCGCTTCACATTGCTGCATTATCTGTTGAATATTTTGTATTCCGGTCCATTTATTCTTGACCTGAAGAGTTGCACGTTGTTTATTCTCCCACTCGAATTACCCTACACAGAGCCGTGCGTTTTTCACTAGTGACCAGTAATGACAATGAAACTGGCGACATATGGCACAGACACCTCACAATGTGAGCTTTGCAGATTCAGTCTATTAAATTTATGTGTAAAATAGCAACGTATTTTCCAAAAATCCTGTGATGTCGATTTTATGCGTAACTCAAAAGTTCGGTTTATTCAGTCAGAAAATTGATTGCAAATTTGCTTTCCGAATTACTTCAAAGAAATTTATAAATTTATTTTTCACATTAATATTCGGTTTTCTTAAGAAATCCAAATGTTTGTGACACACAAATAAGTGGTTCGATTTAAAGTTACCTCTGTACTTCGTGAACCTTTGAACTATCAATAGCCTATACTCGTTTGAAAAAATTCGCCAATAGTTAAACTAGCTGGTTATGATGTTGTGATCCATACCGTTACTTAACTTTAAAGTGTATAAAAAATCGTGAATAATGTTGAGATTCAAAACAGAATTGCATCACTTTGCATGCTTTGATTTAATTTAACGTGAACAAAGTCAAATGGTATATATCTATATATACGAACCAACGTGAATGTTTTCGAAGACGCATAAACCAGAAGCCAAGAGTTACTTCAGGTGAGTGAACTGTTGCCAAGTGTTCTCTGCTAGTTACGTTGGAATCAGTTTATTCTCGAGTCTGCTTAAATAAGAATGAAAAGATGGTATCGGTTATAGTTTATTGTTGACCACAGCTAACAGGTTTTCCTTCATTTGAGACAAACAACAAATGTTAATAATCCGGGATTTATAGACTCCATCAGTTGTCGGTGGAACTCTTCAACTAAATATTCTACACACCAAGATATTTACACCATTAGATTCACATCAAGCGACATATTACTGATAAGTATGTAAGCTAAACTGAACCAAGCATGCAAAAACATACGTGTGAATGTTTTCCAGGCCAAGTTCATATAGACAAGTGGAAGTGAGTTTCAAAGATTGAAATCAGGTTGATAACCACTAACACCTCAGCTACATCATGCGAATGAACAATAAGTTATCAGAGAAAGAACCTGAATATATCAAGAATTGGAAACGGAATAATATCGATAATGACATTATTGGTGATAATAATACTGATAATGTGAAAATGAGTCGAGATAGTGCTAATGATAAAGATATTTTTAAATGAATCAGGAATGATAATAAGAAGAGGTCGAATAAAATAATGTATTAATAATTATTATTATGGTTTCTAAGTAAAGCATTTCACCATGGTTGATAAGGCGTAACTACCATTGTCTTCACTACACAGACACCTGGTTAAATATTTCTGATTGACCAAGCCTCAGCAGTTGCCAACGTCTTCCTATTTTCATTTGTAGGCTGACAATAGTGAATGACATGACGGCGTCACTTTCATGTCCACAGTATGTACGATCCCTTGTTTTTGATCTTTTTCGTACGACGGCTTCAACTGTTTTCAGCCACACTGACAAATTCTCTATTCTTTGAGCAGAAAATCGACTTGCCGTACCACCCAAATGTTCATTTCTACAAACGCACTCCAAATGAATATACTAATTTTCGATTGTAGTTGAATGGGGACCGGTCTCTCCTAGATTGTTGAAGCACCCGTTCACTGATATTGTGTAACACGAGTTTCGTAGCACCACGAAAATTTCCTCATAGTTTTAACAAGTCCATTCATTCAATTTTCAAGGTCGATAGTTTAGTTAGAAAGAAAACAGAATTATGTTTCAGTGATTTTTAGTCAGTCGTATGAATGAAGCAAATAGTTGTAATGGCTGAATGTCATCTAAAATTTTATCTTCAGTGGCTCATCATCCAAGTGACAGGCGTTCACATTTCAGACTTCAAATCTTGTAGCAAGGCGTCATTATATAAAGCCTTACTGATCCACACATCATATTTCAACAAATGCAAATTAACTCACTGGTTTAGAAAATGCATTTGGTTATGTCAGTTTCTCATGAATACTTTCTTGTATCCAAAATGTTTTCAAAGTTTTATTCAGGTTTTACAGGTTATTAATGTGTATTTCACCATATCATGATAAATTTCTCTCTGTCAAAATCTACAAACAAGCGTAAATAACGAATTTTATCCAACCAACTTCACAGATCTGAGAAAAATAATGTCGGAAACTTTGATCCAATTCACTCAAGAATAATACCGTTTCAAAAATTCAAAAATTTAACCTTACCAGCCTTATGTTCGTCACCTATACTCACACATTACTAAAACGTTTTCGTCCTGTTGTCATCTTTATCTTAATCCGCAGATTTCAATATATATCATGATGGTAGGTTTGGTTGCATCTTGTATCAGTCCAAAGATTAAGAGACAGGAAACACAGAACCCAATTTCCACCAACTTCGTTTCGGTGAGTGTAGCATGATTTATTGAATACGCTATTTTACTCTTAGTTCTTTATCAATATAGCGCTTATGGTGTCAGTCACTGTTGGTTTAGTCGTCCTGTTTACTAATGTGTAAGATTGGATTAAAAAAGATAAAAAAACATCATCTTGCTTTGTAGATCAACCATATCTGATTTTTTTAAAGGACACGTCAATCTTGTGTATATTATGATGTGAGTTATCCATTGAACATTATAATATATTCATTCAATTTATTATTCCTCTAATAGATGGCGAGTGTAATTCATTTATAGTACTTTCTCTATTTTTCAATTTGTTACATGCCGATAATCTCCTTTATTAAGTTGAATAATGCCGGGGAAAGGAATTCACAAAGCCTTCATTTCACTACACTTCATGGGGTATATTATTCTATTCCTTTACTTGAAAGAACCTCTAAAAAATAAGCTGGTCCTTCATGCAAATTTGGAAATATTATTGTTAGGAATAAAAACACAACAATGGCCATGCCACCCGATGCATTTTCGCCACAGTAGTTGTGACGCTCGTCGACCATGCACATGGTCTGGCGATCAGTCTCTGGCCGACGCACATCTGATACCAATGGTCGGCCTGATAAATTTGGGCTGTCGACATCACATGCTGAGAATTCCATACTTGCACCGAAATACTGTGTGGAAGCAAGCTGTAACATAACAAAGCAAATGAAAAATAGCTACCCATCAATTAGTTATTTTAAAATATCTGAAAAGACAATAAATAAGTAACTTCTCTTTTTGACTCTTGTATTGTTTACTGTTGTCGAGTCATACTTTCCTTCGTTCATTGTATTATACTTCGTGTTTGAGGTCCTGAAATTTCCGAAGCATTCGTGTTGTTTCTAAGAAATCAGTTTGCTAGCTTCATCAACAACACTCCTTTCTCTCACGCTTACTACTAGGTGTCAAACTAGTCAAAGATTAGGAGTAATTTGATTAGCAATTGAATATCAGAACACCTGCTTAGTTAGTGGGCATTTCATAACTGGCTCACAAGACCTTCTGTTTACTGCTTATATAAAGTGTTCGACTAAACAGTTACTTTATTTAACTCGCGCTCACTACTGTTGTGTGAAATGAGGACAATATTCATGTATATTACGTCGTAAACTTATTTGTCTTTAAAATCTACCCTGACATATGATGGTCAAACAGTTTTCATTATGACAGAAAATTTGTCCTGAATACCAAAAATCAGGATTTGAAACATGTATGCATGTATGCAATTGATAAATACAGGAGGATTATCTCTAGGAAACTTCATCATATCTTCATTCCATCACAATCATCCTTGTGTCTTCTGTCTCAAATATGACTTTTGTGATGACATATATGTGCTCTATATCACTGAACAAGTTCGACAGTGATAACAACGAATAAAAAACGGATTCATTCTCTAAGGCATGGATCGAGTGTAGAATCTTCTATCTACCATGTGGGATATCGCATTAACATGATTTCTACCGCAGGTATCATGTAATGAATCATTTCCGAATTCATTTTAGGTCAGTCACCACCATTCTATTACTTCTACTTGCATTCGTGAGAGGAATTCGATCGAATGATTACGCTGTTCGAATACTACTTTGGATTGTGGTGAGTATCAGTATTACGTTACCTTTTATGAAGCTATGAGAATTTGCATTATTTTTCTGTGAGAAATAAAACGACTACTGCGTAATATAAACAAATATCCATGTCAATTTTTATCTTGCTAATGAGATGGCTTCTACTATTTCTGTCGCCTGCCATTCCCATCTTTCAACGACATCTGTATCAAAACTTGTTGCTTAATAATACGAAAGTGTGATAAAATATGTGGGGAAGAAGGAAATCATCTTCGTGGACACTTGAACATTCGCTAACAAATAAAGCTGATACAGGCATAATAAATACTAGTCGAGATGTGCAAATGACCTGAATATTGAAGATCTCATGCAAAACTGGGATCAGTTTTAAACGATATCCAATTCACTGAAGTAATCTGATACACAAGTTCGCATGAAATCATCCTGAATATTTCCTGAACAATTTCCAGTGATATTACTTGCACATAAGTGGTCCCATATAACCTACTTGCTGAACTCAGATTCTAATTTCAATAGGTTTCATTTCACTTCATAATAAATTCATCAGGATATTTAATATTTCACAGTGTTATTCCGTTGTCAGGGCACTGAAGCATCCGTTCCCAATACATAAAGTTAATTGTTACTGACAATATTAGAAAACTCTACAGCTTACTGAATTTCACACTTCAGTCTATCTATCTCATTCGAAATATTATTGTTCACAACTCAGGAATGTCTCACTTGCAACATCGAACATGTAGACTGCTTGTTCGTGAAAGAAATAGTTATTTTCTGCATTTCGCCCACTCATGAAGCAATGAGGGAAATATTGCATTTGACATGTGCTTAATTTTCTTACTACGTCTTGACATATCATATAATAATTACTTAATTGTCACTGTTATTGTTTTCTTGATATAGGTTATATTGTGGTCTGTGATCTTTGCTTCTGCGTTCTTACCAATCGGGTGGAAATATGTTTTGATAGCTTTAGCTGTGACAATAATTTTTACTGTTTGGGTTGTCTTGGTGGCCATGAAACTGCCTCCATTGAGTAAAAAGGGGTTCATCATATTTTTGGCAATATCAGACGTGCTTGGGGTTTCAGCTATAGTTGTAAGGATATGTTATTCCTTGATCACTCAACCAGAAGTTGTAAGTTACATTAATTTATGTCTTTAGGACTTCTATATTATAATTATGAAATGTGATGAAATCTGCACATCATTTTAAAATGCCCTGTTGCTTATGACTTCTTTCTTAATAACGCTGAATACAACAGAGGATGAAATATCAGTATAAGTAGCTGGTTATCCACTGAGTGTCAGCGATTGTTATAGGGGTTCATAAAACGACCTAGTAATTTTTGTAAAGTATGCTGAATGACATTCATATACCTTCGGTCAACGCTGCCTTCTACTGCCATGTTTGCTATTTCAACCAAGCTTATTCAGCTCCGTTTCAAAGGATGCCAAGTAGTTCAGATACAGCGGCGGTCTGCTTAAACATTGTGCGTCACCTGTATTGCATCTGATTACTTGGATTTATTTTGTTTTATTCATTCAATTATGTTTTCAAATCGTATTTCTTACTCTCACGATTATTTAAAATGTTCTCGACCTGATGGTTTCCGAGTTTCTAATAACCTTGAGAAAAAGCATCATGATGAGTGGCAACCATCCCTAAAGTGTACTCCAGTGCATCAGATGACTGTTCCTGTGTTATGAGCACAAATTGCAGGTCATTATCGAACAAAATTAATTACTTGGATGCTCTATTATGTTCAAATATTTATCGTAATACAAGTGTAATAACGCTTCAAAAAACTTGGCTGCACGATTCATATGATGACAATTTAATCTTACTGAATGGTTTCAATATGTACAGACAAGACCGAAGTAGTTCAAGGAAGGAGTGAGGTGGTGGTGTTGCTTCTTTCATCAATTCTCAGTGGTCTGTTGCCGAGAAGCTCTGCTTTATATTCTCCAATGATAATATTGACTGAATAACTGTTAAATGTCGACCTAAACACCTGTCTTAGTACAACGTCATTTTTATCATGAACATTTATGCCATATCTTGGTGTTATACTTCAGAACAATCTATTTTCGCTGACGCCTCTTTTGAAAACTCATTGTACATAGTGATAGACGATTTCAATTCTTTTGACTGCAGTTTTCTTATAGTGCAAGGTCACGAAAATGTCGTTAACTTTCCCAACCGTTTGGAAACTTCTCTTGATCTTGTATTTTAAATGATCGCGGAATATGTGAAGCTCGTAAAAGAGCCCCACTGTTTAACTTCGATTACTGTATTGTACGGGTTTTACCAGAAATCCGTGGAAAGATACACAAGGGAACCTCTTCACACCTGTTCAAAAAAATTGCACATGTATGTTACTGTAAGGAAAATGTTCAGAATCTAAGGAGAATGCTCAAAGACAAAAGGAGGGCTTGTTTAATGAAGACTCCCTTGATGACTTTATTTCTAATATTACATGTTATCTCAAATTTTGTCTTGAAACCTGTTGCGCAAGATTTAACCGTTTCTCCTCCCCTCAATTTAACAATCTTCGAAAGTAAAATATATGTTATATAAAATGAAGGGTAACATTGGTGTGAAAAGAATTAACATTGTAATCAACTGTGAAATGCACCGATTGAATTCAATTTATAACCAGGAGTTTATCTCTTGTAAAAATGCCTCTAATATATAGAAACCCTTCAAAGAAATTACTTGTGGTAAGCAGATGCACAGTATTCCTCATTCATTTGATGTTTGCACACTAAACAAGTCTTTAATACATTTTCCCAGAAATGTCAAACTTTCTAGAGTTACGTGTTAATGAAACCTGTTACCCTGATTTCAATACAAATGACATTCTTAAATGTCTACGGTCGCTGAACACTTCTTGTGACCTAGGTCCAGATGGTTTGCCTAGCCTTATTCTTTGAAAATGTGCAGATATCTTGCGTTATCTTTTCATGGACATATTGAATGAGTCTTTTTCCAGAAATGTCGTGCTAGCCGTTTGGAAGGACATTAAAACTTTACCTATACCTAAGTTATCTACTGGAACATGTTTTAAATTTAGACCTATTGCAATTACGTCTCCTTCTCTAACAACTATGGAAACGTTATGTTCACTTATTCTTCAACCTTCCCTTAAAGCTTTAAATGATAACAGAAAATTTGCCTAAAAACATGGTGGAAGTATTTTAGATGCAGCTGCAGTCTTGAATCATAACAACGTCCTCAGTTTAGACAAGGCGGCTAAATTTGTTCACTGCACCTTCCTAAATTACACATCTGCTTTCTACTTATTATCTAGAAACATTTGTTCAACAGGGTTTCCGAAACTCAAACTGAGTGTTAGGTAGTCAAATGGCTGCATTCTCAGGAAGAAAGCAGTGCACTGTATGTCAGGGAAAGTCGTCCACTTCAAGAATGACTGAGGCTAGAGTCCCTCAGAGTGCTGTCCTTTCCCTTTTTTCGCTTTCTTTCTTCTTGCATGACTTGCCTCACTCTGATGAAATGAACTTTGTTAAGTACGCGGATGATCTATCTTATTGTCTGTTAATTCCTAGCAAGACTGTAATAAGATGAACAGCTTTCTATCAGAAGTTAGCAAATGGTCTTCGTCTAATTGTCTTAAACTAAATCCCTGCAGATATCAGACTGTTAATTTCATTTTCCGATGTAAAATAAAGTTATATTAACTGGTGGTTCCTATCACCATTTTCAAATTGATGATAATGATATAGAAATCAAGTCTGAAGTTGAGTATCTTGGATTATTTCTTTCTTCTAACCAATTCTGGTCTTCCCATGTCAGTGATTTCCAAAAGAATATTTCGTCTGACTTTTTATATTAGGAAATGAAGGCACTCAGGCATAACTCAAGTCCTCCTCCTACAGTTTGTCAACTCGTGCATCTTACCTATTCTTCTTCACTGTTCACTCTTATTATTTCCTGGATTGCTTCAATAAGACTATGTCATACTTCGTAGAACTCTGAAGACTATCGGTCAGTAGGGCAGTTAGCGTCTCGTGTGACATATCGCTGACATCGTCATTGGTAGGCACTTGATTTCATGCAACAAGTTTGCTAGAGGAATTTTGTCAGATTGTGAGTATCCACAGCAGCACCCGCAGCTCCAACCTTGTGTCTCCTCAGGTAAAACAAGACCTTTTTTCAGACGACTTTATGCTGGTACGTCTAAGCATAAAAATGCCACCAAACCACATTTTCCACTTACTTTATGTGATGAAAATAGTGTTGGGCATAAACTTAAGGACCTTCTTTGCCCTATTAAATAAACCATTTCCTCCACCCTTAAAACATCAACCTTTATTGTTGTTGTAGGTCTCATATTTATAATCCTCTAAACTTTTTGTTTTTATACATTTATTTTTTTATAAGTGTGAACATCATTTAAGCTGTGTTATAACAATTAATCTTGTATTTCCCCTCACCATACTTTATTAATAGAACATTAAATTCAATACTATATAACGGGCTAACATTTTCAAACTGAATAGGCAATACCGTTTGAAACAAACACATCGTTCTTATTATTATATTTATTATTCTCAATTCATACTTCGAAAATTTTTGAGTTTATACCGTAAATGTGGACAAATTCTTCTGGTTAATTTGATTTAATTTTCAATTTTGTTTATACTTTGATTAAATCAGATGCAATATTGTGAGAAAGGCTGGTAATTGCATTCTGTATTATAAGTGCTGATTTTGGAATAAAGTAGATTATTAATATTATTATAATAATTTGACATCAATGTGTTGAGAGGAGGATATTTTGAGGAATTTTTTATTATTGTCAGTGTTAACATGTTAGCAGTGTTTACTTCGGTCTATTTACTGGAACAATAATTAACATGCAGCAATAAAGCTTTTATTTCTTCATGTGAATGTAACACCTTCTTTTTGCATTTATTAGAAATCGATAATCTACATATTGCTGGGAGTTCCAGTCGCGTTATTTATACTCTCCGTAAGTTTTCCATTAAATTAGTGTATTCACTACAATCCATTTTTGCAGTTAAAAATTGCTTACAGCGCATCACTATTATACAGCGTAAATCAGTCGTTATATGTTCATACCAAATAAATGTGCACTATGTTACAAAGTGCCAACTGATAGTAGATTAAAACTGTAAGTAATGTTAAAACCTCGGTCAGAGCAATGCTGAAAATACCATGACATCTAAAACCTCAATTATGATGAAAGTCAATCAAACAGCATCCAACTTTCTGTGAAATATTATCACTAAGCTTAACAACGTTTTACGATTTTCCTGGACGCTGTAAGTATAAGGACGAATTGGATTTCAGATATTAAAATATTTCCGCGAATCAATTTCATTGGAATACATCTTATGGAGAATATAGACGTTTGGTAATCTAAGGTGAAAGTGTTGAGTTGCGACGAAGAAGCAACCTTCAGAAACTAGCTATTCAACCAAACTGGTTGATTAAGGATGACTAATGATTTTGCCGTACCCTCACGTCTCCTCAACCATAAAGACAGATAATGATATTTTCTACCCATAAATCTGAAAAGAAAACCTCATGAGAAATCTTACCATCACAACAACAACATATGCATGTTTATTTTGAGCGGCCATCCATCAGAGTCGCCGATAATACGTAAAGTGGTGGAAACATAACATTCTAGAAATGCTGTCGGCGAACACTTGTCAAGTGAGATAAATACATAAGTAGTCTGTAAATGTCCGTGAAAACGAAGTACAGACTGTTATCCGAAGCATATGCGACAAAAATTAATTATTCGAAAAATCACTCCATTTCAGCGACAGTTTGTTTTAAGTGCTGATGTTAGTCTAACAGAAATCATTCGCAGAAAATCATGGAAGCTGATAGTGAATTTCTGAATAATTCAACAGCAGTTGAGGCGTGTAGAATTCACCTCATCATACTGACATTGCGATCATAAAATTTAATAGTTTTCCTCACTATGGAATACGAATTTCCGTAAAATTTATGCTGATATAAAGTAATCATTTGTGTGTGAATTCGTTTTGCTTCTTTACAATTTAGGTGATGTTTATTTGTGTCAATACTCGAAGGTGGATGATGCGGTGGTTTCCCGTCAACTCCATGGATTTTATTCTTGCCTTCGTCATTTGGTGTCACATGATAAGCTTATTCGCACAAATTTATCCCAGACTAACATTATAAGTAGCTCAAGACACATGAAGGCATTTGAAAAAGAAATACTGATTTGTGGAATGGCTGTCGAATTGTTCTCGTTGACAATGCATCATCATTTTTTTAATTTGCCGAAAATTCCATTTATTCATAGCTGAGTTTGCTTTCGATTTCACTTGTGTTGACGTCTTTCGTACAGTGAATAAGGTAATTTTTGTAAATATTAAATCCGCAAATACAAAGTTTTCTATAGTTTGGTTTGTAAGGGTTAGTTATCATCTACGAATCGGTACCTATTTCTGATTGTTTTTCACATGTTTGTACAGTGAATTGATGCATATTTCAAAATTTCTTCTGAAGAAACAACCAAAATTTAATTTATAATTCTCAGCACAACAAACGTTCTGGTAGTTTGTAAATATGATTCCATGGTAAAAGTGTGCAGTTTGAATTCACACCTTGAGAAGTATCATTCAAATTACATTCTCGTACGTTAAGAAAAAAGCTTAAACGTCTTAGTCGATCCGCATTCTCAATAAACTAAGCTCGAGAGTGAGGTGCATTGTGTATAGGAGTGGCATGTTTATTATAGTAATAATATGTGTTAACTTGTGTGAGAAATCAATTTCAGTTACTGATGAAGAGCGTCAAATGACTCATTTATAGTCTTTAGTGTTAAGTCAGTCAAAGGATGTTTTCAGCGGAATTACTGTGAGGAAATTTAGCGCCATATCATATGGAGTGAGATTAAGTGATAGTGTGGTTGTGTGACAGACAATGTGTTACAATGGAGTACTACTCTCACATATTCCCACAGTTCCATGCAGCATTAGCAACAGAAAACGATATATCTGTTTGAAAATTCTGTTCGTTGCTAGAGTACAAATATTATTACCACATTTCAGAAGTACGTCAGCGACAGAATACTATGTGTGCATTTGAACATCCTATTTCATATCGTTTAGTGTAAGCCAAAATCACATGCTCAATGATTGGTTAGATAATATAAACTATATATATGTATATATGTATATGAAAATATGCCTTGGCTTCCGTGTCTTTCCGTCCGTACACACAATAGAAGAGACTTGAAATCCATTTGTCTTCATACTTACAACTTTTACTTTATGAGCACACTTTCAATCGTTTAATATGAAGTGAATGAGATGGCAATTTAGAATAACGGGCAACTTAGCGAACAAATGTTTACTTTTCAATCTGACTTTCATCTTTACTCCAATATATACTGACTTTTCAAAACATACAAACAGTTTACCAGTCTATTTGAAATATGCCTTTCAACAACAATTAGTCAGTATTAACATGTGAAAGGAAGGATAATTAACGAAGGAAATGAATACAAACAATAAACGTGGAGAAATCGTTACTACGACTGAATTTTATAGTGCATAATTTCGAGAAAAATGAAGAAATGATAGAGTGATTGATTTGGTTGCGTGATACATACATACATACATACATACACTTTAAAGCTACCTGATGGAAACACATAAAGGCGTCTATATTTTCTGCAGCGAACAGTGTGTGTTGAATAATGCAATCGCTTCCATAATTTGTAGAGAGTGGAAGTTTATATCTAAATGGATTAATCGCATAAACATACGGAATTATTACAACAGTCATTCTAGTGGCGCGTATAGTTACATACATCAGTGACAGAAAACCTTTGTGATTCTAGTGGAGTAAAATTTACCTTGTTTTCAAGAATATGTGGTTGTCTTCTATCATAATAAGGTAAATTTGAAGAAAGATCTCTTACAAATCAACCGAGTTTTCGATGCTTGCCTTACCATTGTCATCATTTCTTAAAGAATAAGCTCGCTATTCGTCATTTTATTTGACACAGATTTAACACTCTGTTTTTGAAAACAGAGATTACTTGCAAATTTGTATTTTGTCATCACCGCCTATCTTCTGAAACACAGAAGACGAACACGCCACATAGTTTTGTGCTCACTCTTTGGTATATGATCCAATATTCTTAGGCACTCTGACCATGAGAATAGGACTCAATAACTAACCACTGGTTAATTGTAACTTTGTATAAATTGGTTATTGTGTTATATTATCAAAACTATGATTAGTAAACTTGTGAAATCATTGAATTTCGAATTCAGAGTAGCTTAACTGAAAAATGACACATCGAATTTAACGGGATCGTTGAAGAATTGATTGAAGGTTGACGAGTATTTGCGATTGCAATTACTATAACAATTAGTAATCAAATATTGTTCTTTCATTACTTTCGAACACGTAGATTCCAATGAGTATTTTTTGTGTTCGCAAGTCCCTATAAACTTCAGGGCTGAATGTGAATTTCAGCTGACATATGGTGTTGGGAAATTGTGCAGAGTACACCAGAAACGCTTGTTAGCATGGGGTGATACTGTAATTATTTGAGGTTGATTCTATCCTGGATGTGCTTCCTTTCTCACAAATCTCCTAACTTCAACTTTTTCTCATTCAATCTTCCAGTTTTTCAACCACCTCCATAATGAATTGATAAGTCCACTTATCTTACGCACTGAACCAACACACAGGACGAGATAAGGATTTTCAACAAAAGTGTGAAGTCAGTCACTTCTGCCATATGGGACAGAAACGTCGTAAGCCCATCATGAAAAGGATTTTCAACAGGTTGGAGACTGTTATCAACAGCAGCCTCTACTGGCTCCATGCTGAACATCAAATAGTAGGCCGGAAGAATCGGCAGCAAGAGACTGTGGGAACAGTCAACCAAGAACAGACTGCTCAACAACGTGACCTGACCAGGTGCACGAATCACAATCGAAGACGTCAATTATTCTTTTCATATTGACCAACACTGACACAGCATTAGACGACGTACAGCACAGACACTTCACAATGTGGTGTTTGTAAAGTGTATTAAGTGAATTTTTGTAATTTATAGCATATTCTAGAAATATCTTCTGATTGGGATTTTACGCATGACTTAAACGTTCGCCTAAACAAATCGAAAAATTGATCACAAAATATCGTTCAGTGTCCGCTAAAAGAAGTTCCCTGTCTTTTCTCCCCAGGATATAGTTTAGTTAGGAAAGTCAAATACATGAGAAACACACTTCATCGATTTGAAGTTATAATGTACTTCGTAAACCCTTAAGCCATCGATAGCATAAATTTCGTTTGAAAAGAATTCACCCATAGTTAAAAATATGATGTTGTGATCCATTCCGACATTTTACTTCAATGTGTATAAAGACTTCATGAAAATCGTTGAGATTCAAAACGGAATTTGATCACTGGTATACTCAATATTGATTTCGATGACCATTAACAAACTCAGTATTTAAATGTATATATGCGAAACAATCTAAATCATTTCTAAGGCACATACATCTGAAGCTCCACAAAACTAAAGGTGAGTGAACTAGTCTTATGTCCTCTCTCCTAGTTATGTTTGAATCAATTTATTTTTGAGTTTACTTAGATATGAGTGAATGGATGGTATCGACTATGGTCTAATTCTGATCACATTTGATGGGCTTTATTCTGTTTAAGACAATCAACAAATAGTTAACAAGCCAAAATTTGTTTACTTCATTAAATGTCAATGTAGAAATTAAGAGCTGAATACTCTATACATGGAGATATTCACACCATCAGAATAACATTGCTGGATAAAAGGCTGATAAGCAAATAAACTACACTAAATCAATCATGCGACACGATAGGTAGAAATGTTTTTCAGGTCATGTTCACAAAGAAAAGTGGGAGTTTAGGTGATTGAGTTTGAGATAATAACGACTCATGGCTCAGCTACTTCGCACAATCAACTTGTTATCAGAGAATGAACTTGAAAATATCAAGCACTGCAAACTAATCAGTATCCATAGTGATACTATTGGTAATAATAAAAATTTTAAAACCTGTTAAGATAATGCTACTGATAAAAGATTGTTTTAAATGAATCAGGAATATCAATAACAGGTAGAATAGAATAAGGTTTTATTAATAATAATAATAACAGTCCACAAGTAAAACACGCTACCTGGGAAGATTCAGAGTGACTACCATTCCCTTCGATAGGCTGAGGATAGGTACTGTAAGATCAATTCTATTCCCATCCTTGAATCAAGGCAACCTGTCCCGGATCAGCCTAGCGTTGTTGCAACCCAATTATCCATGCCTAACGTGTCTATCCCCTCTTGTTTAATGAACTGTGTATATGTGTTTTTACCTCGATCCGTTTAGTCAGACAGTTGAACTCATGGCCCAATCAGAGTATTTTGTGAACTGTTAATTTTGCTGACCCATGTCTAACTTTGTACTATTCTGTCGAGTTTATCTTATTTATTGATTTTCATCTGTATTTTCCTACCTGGTTAAGTAGCCAATTAAATTCTATCTTTGTGCCTATGCTCGGTCTATCTCTCTTAAACGCTCTCTGTTTTATGCCATACCTTACTTGGGTTCATTCTTCTACTGACTGCTTACCTGAACGGTCGTGTCTGGTTCCGGCTAGTTCGCAATTTTGGTTTTAACGTTATTCCGCTCTGATAGCGGTACCTTGCTTTCTGTTAAGCATTGTGCTTTGTACTCTTGAAACCGTTAAGGTTTGTTGTATATATAATTATTGATTTGTTTATTAATAGTACCGTAGAAACAGTGACCGGCTTCTTGTTTGTTCTGGACCGGGATAGCCTTTATCTACGCGTGACTTAATTTCAAGCGATATTGCGCTTACAGTACTTAACGTTACAGAGGAGATCGTACTGAACTGATCAGTACTTAACGAAAGAGGCAGTGTCATTGAAGAAAATCTCGTACTGAACTGGTCAGTACTTAACGAAAGAGGAATTGTCATTGAAGAAAATCCCGTACTGAACTGGTCAGTACTCAACGTTCGTCCAGAAGAAACTGTGGTGAATTGGCAGCACGCAACGTTGTTGAAAATACATTTTCTTTGGAGCAATGCAAACCAGATCAGAGAAGCAAATTTCGGAGCAGCAGTCGGAGAGTCGGCAAGCCCCCGTTTGTATAAATGATCATGTTGATAATCTTTCGTGCCCCGGCTCTCATGTCAGTAGTTCGAAATCATCATTATCGCGAGTAACTAGTGCTAGGTCGTCGCTACTAAAGGCGCAGCTAAAAGAGAAACAGCTTCGACAGGAGTTAGAGTTAGAGTACAGATAAAGTTGCTTAGGGCTAGACATGATGTCGAAATGGCCGAGCTGCATGTGAAGTTAGCCGAGGACGACGAACGGAACACTCATGGAAATACGAAAAGAGGCACTGTCAACTACGCTCGAATCAGCGAAGACAGTATCAAAGGCGACATCAGAATGCTATATGGAGCTGAGCTTAAGGATACTGAAGAAAACGAAGACTCATTTTCTATTGAAGATCGTAAGGCAATCGAGTTTGTTACTCAAAGCACCGTCTTAGAAAAGGCGTATTACATTATTCCCTTGCCATGGGAAGATCCAACAAAGGTAACAGATAATAATTATGTAGTCGTCATAAAGCCGTTACTCAATCTGAAACAGAGGTTATCGTGTGACAAGAACCTTTTAGCACGATATGTGAATGGGATAAATACGATGTCAAAAAATGGTTACGCCCTTCCGGTACCCCCGGAGCAGCTAGCAGCGGACTATCGTTCGAGGTGGTATCTTCCACATCATCCCGTTATGAAGCCGAAAAGGCCAGATAAACTGAGATTAGTTATGGATTGCGCCGCAAACTTTAGATGTTATTCTTTGAACGATAAGCTATATCAAGGACCTGATACGATTGCCGAGCTTGTTGGTGCTCTGTTGCGCTTTCGAGAAAAGCCTATTGGTGTAGTCGCGGACATAGCTGATATGTTTATGCAAGTGAAGGTGCCAGTAGACGATCGAGGAGCATTACGATTTCTGTGGTGGCAAGATGGTTGGCTAGGCGTTGGCCGCGAGGAGTTATTGCGGAATGCGAGCAATCCGCGGACGAACTTGTCAGAACGGTTAAAATAAGAACGAGAAACGGCGAGGTGAAGCGCGATATACGTAAGATATGTCTACTAGAGGGATGTCATTAGTAAGAGAGCCGGGCACGAGGGTTATTCTGTATAACATGATTCATAAAATCCTAGTCGGATTTTGGGGGCCGGTGTAAGATCAATTCTATTCCCATCCTTGAATCAAGGCAACCTGTCCCGGATCAGCCTAGCGTTGTTGCAACCCAATTATCCATGCCTAACGTGTCTATCCCCTCTTGTTTAATGAACTGTGTATATGTGTTTTTACCTCGATCCGTTTAGTCAGACAGTTGAACTCATGGCCCAATCAGAGTATTTTGTGAACTGTTAATTTTGCTGACCCATGTCTAACTTTGTACTATTCTGTCGAGTTTATCTTATTTATTGATTTTCATCTGTATTTTCCTACCTGGTTAAGTAGCCAATTAAATTCTATCTTTGTGCCTATGCTCGGTCTATCTCTCTTAAACGCTCTCTGTTTTATGCCATACCTTACTTGGGTTCATTCTTCTACTGACTGCTTACCTGAACGGTCGTGTCTGGTTCCGGCTAGTTCGCAATTTTGGTTTTAACGTTATTCCGCTCTGATAGCGGTACCTTGCTTTCTGTTAAGCATTGT